TACTCCTCTACTCAATCATCCTTTCGATCATAAATTTCTACTGATCCTCTTCTCTTTTTCCTCATGAAATCCTTGCTGTGTTTTTTTTTCCCCTGCCATTCAGCCAACACATTCCTCTCGAGACATCGACTATTGTGTAAAACATGGCCTTTGTCAAGCATTTGACAACGCCTCTCGAACAGGATGCGCTATCATTGTCTCCCTATCATCACCCCGACCATGCTATGTACTTCTACAAAAAGGACTCTTCTCTACATAGTCGATGTCTTTTGGTTTTTTTTCCCTGGGAATTTGTGAAATATAAAAATCACAACTTTGCTCTGTTGTCTTACGGCATTCGTTACACATAGTAGCACTCGAGTGATCGGTTAGCTACCATAAATCATTGTGTACGCTATATTTCATGTATTTGTTGATTAACTCTGAGAAATTTGTATTGTGTCCGATTTCAGTCACGAGATATTGGGTTGTAAAATAAGTTCGTAGAGTTTTTTCCACAAAGATTTGTTTGAGCAAAAAATAATAATTATAATAATTAATTAAGCAATGATGTATCCTTCCTTACTGTTTACGCTCTCCTCCCTTCTCTCGACCAATTAGTTGGTGCCGTTTTGCCAAAAATCGGCCGGTCCGGTGTCGAAGAAGTTGTTGAGCCAATTTTTAAGATCCTTTTCGCCATCGGAGGTAACACCCCTCATTTGGTTTGATAGAGAGCGGAAAAGGTGATAGTCGATAGGTGCAAGATCCGAAGAGAACGGTGGATGCTGAAGAGTCTCCCATTCAAGGTCTTGGAGTGCTGTTTTGACGACATGGGCAACATTGGGTCTGGCGTTGTCGTGAAGCAGGATGACTTGACCTTGTCTATCGGGTCTTTTCAGCCAAATGGCCTACACGGTTCAGCTGGGCAATGTAGACCTTCTTGTTAACAGTGGCATTTCGTTCGAGCATTTCCCAGTGCACCATGCCTTCCCAGTCCAACCAGACGCAGATCATGTCCTTTTTTGGGTGAAGGTCTTGCTTGACTCTCAGCTTCAGCGTCTCTTCTGGGGCCACCCACTCCTTTCAGTAGACACACCTAAGACACCTTCCTCGTACACACTGCATATGTCCCGCGCGGCTTCGGCTGCTTTTTGAATTCGATGAAAAGAGCAGATGTCGAAAATGCTGATTTTTCCTTCCTGGATATTCCATTTCTGCACCAGAAAAAAAGATGAACAATTGGATTATCCAAAAAACAAATAAAACAGTTCTGTAGAGGAGAAAGAGCTCTTTCGAATGAATGTATACACTTCGCTGAAAATCAAAACAATTCGTTGTAAAATAACTCGGACGCAAAACTCTACGAACTTATGTTACAACCCAATAGATTTTATAAGTTACTTGGACTTCGGTGTAATAGTAGTCTTTTTTCCTATTACCTTCCAGCAGTAGCCGTAAGCCGTACAGTTGAACTCGACTATAGTGAAGATGGGCGGTAGGAACGGTTTTACGTAATCGATCCGCCGTACGCGGCTGTCGCGGACCATTTGCCTCGTTATAGCAGTTCTAGTGTTCTTCATACAGCTCAATCAATATGCAATTATTCTTATGGCATGATTCTATTGTTAGTTTTGTTACTGAATTTCTTACTTGCTACTGCATTCTGCTATATTTCTTCGCGCGCGGCGTCTCTTACCGCGACGCGACAATTTCGTTTCTACTGTACCACACCCCGACTATAGCACTATATATGTACATTAGATATGTTTACCCTTTTTATGATACTGCTTTTCATATTTCGGATAGTATTGCTGATGAGTAGCTTTAGTCCTCAAAAAGTGCAATTAGTCGCATTCATTTAGGGGCAATGGTATCCTTTGTGGGCAAGTTTGTTGACAGCTACCTAGCGAACAGAACCTGATTAATGAATGATTTTCAAAAGAGCCAAAAGTTGGTAATTTTTGGAAAATTTGCGGGCTCTTCAAAATCCTATCTACTTTTCGAGCAATTATAATATTAGTGCCATTATCTTCCAAGACAATCTCAATTGCCAACAGCTTTCAAAAATTTGACTCGACCCCGCTGCAACCGACTCTTTCTTACCTATTTTCTTTAGTTTTCCCCTACAGATGTGAAATCAATGCCTATGTGATTGGTTCCAGGTTTATCAGTTGGAATGCTACCACTAACTGGTAAGCTGCTTACAGTGTAATCTGGAAACTTTTTTCCAGTATGTCCAGTCATCATGTCATCACATAGACTGATTTACGGGATTGATTGTTCTTCTAGCTCTTTCGCCAAACTTTTTACTATGCATGATGCCTCTTAGCCTTTCAAAAGAGTGACAAAGCTCACGAGGGGCGTTTGTAGGTCGAGCTGAACCCTTACAACTCGTACTTTTAGAAGTAACTTGAGCCGTTGTTCTCATATCTGATTTCAGTGCCTGTGAATCTTTCTCTCTATGATTCTTTTCAGTCAGGATAGATTTTTTGCATTGGCTTGCAAGTCGGTTGGGCCATCTTGCCTCGTGCTATCTCTACCATCAGATCTGCCTGGATCTATCTGGCTCTTTTTCTTTAAATAGGGGTTGATAGCTGCAACGCTTATGTGTTATTCCAAAGGGCTCATGTGAACGTCATATCCCGAATCGATAACCGCCTATGCCAAGCAAACCTTCTAACCCTCCGGGGAAGATTAATTGGAACCGCGGTTCGGGAAGGTAAAATCACTAACTCGTACATCGGGTGGCCATGTCACGTCGTTGTATAGGCCACATACGATTTCAAGACGATACAACAATTTTTATTAAAAGTCGAATGCGAGACCGCACCGCAAGAGCGGGTGTCCAGTGCATGAAGATAGCTGAAGATGAATTTTCGTGTTTTTCCCCTTAACTTTGTTTTGAGTGGGATTCTATGGGAATCGGACAACTCTTATCAGAACGCTAACGCTTCACAACCACTTTGAAAAGGTATCAGTAGTTATTTTCGAGAATGCTGGGAACTTGAGGTTATGGTTGGTAAGAGTAATTGGTTTGGGAGCCATTTAGCTCTTTGTAACTTCCTTCATTGTGAAAGCTTTTGATTTTTAATATCTCTGGATCTACTTCACTTACGACAGTACAGCAGGAAGTTCGCCGACAATTCGCAGAAGATAGAAATGTCTGCCATTGATTATGTAAGCTCATTGCCAGATGGTGATAGAATGGCTGTTTGTCAACAAGGATAGTCGCTTTAACAGTTTGCTTATTTGTATTCTCATCAACTGAGGTTACCCCTTTTTTTGGCGGGGGTGTGGTGCAGTAGGAACGTCATTGTCGCGTCGCGGCGAGAGAGACGTCGCGCGCGAAGGATGTAGCAGAATGTAGCGGCAACTAAGGAATTCAGGAACAAAAGAACTAACAGTAGAATCATGCCAAAAGTAATAATCGCATAGCGATTGAGCTGTATGAAGAGTACTAGACCTGTTACGATGAGGCAAATGGTCCGCGACAGCCGCGTGCGGCGGATAGACTACACAGAACCGTTACTACTGCCCGTCTCCCTAAAAAAGCTTTGCATTTTGCATGCATCGTCACCAATACATACACAGGAAACTGCCCTTGATCCTTTGATGCACGCCGATTCAATCGAATTAGAAAATCGAATACTGCTGACTGGTTAATGAGGAATGTCTAGGGCAATGTTTAAAATGAATCGCTACACAATTCCATTCGATGTATTCGTTTTTCATCGGTCTAGCCATCTCTTATTGAATGACGAATCAATCAACTGATTAGGTCCATTTCCAATATATCTCGTGCCAGTGTTTGTTTTTCCATCAGACAATTTCATGGAAATAGTTTTTGGTGTTTTCGCTTAACACACAGCGTCACCTCTCTAAAAAAGTTTTTCTTTCTAAAATTGTGACAAGATGTGTATACGTGCATTTTGAACATTCCTTCATTGATTTTTTTTTCATTGGATTTTAAATTTTGATATGTAAGTACTGGAGTTTCCCGTAGGCTAGTCAAACCTCGTCTATACGGATTCAGTTAGTCATTAATTAGTTATTCATGGAAGATAGTTCTATGAAGTACTTGTTCCTGGTGGCGGAATTTGTGCAGCGGCAATAGCGGCAAGTGGCGCACTATCACAAAAACAAAGTCATGGGATTAAATCCTGGATCGATATCTGCCTAGGCTAACCAGCCCGCGCTTTTCCTCCATGCCTTCCATGTTCGGGGTCGGCTGATTGGTAGCAGACTTGTCTAGAAGGTGAAAAGCACAGCATTGTACATCGGTTGGTTATCGCCCAGGGGGCTTCAAAATAAAGGAACCGATTACCTTAAGGATCACTGTCCTTCCCATAATCCACTTGTCTTTCACCTACCAATCATTGCGAAGACACCTCGATTTACTCTATTAACTTACGTATGTTTAGTAGATATGCAACCAACAAATGTCAGGAGACGCGCAAACTTCATCTTTCAGCTTGGACAAGAGAATTATTGGTTGTTTATATTTCTAGACTCGCACCTTTCCTCCAGATGTATAGTGGATCTCATGCCAGAGCCACGCAATACTTGTGTCTGTTATTGGATGAAGAAGAAAACGAGCAAACGATGCTTTCCTTTCTTACTTTGCGATGTTTGCAAGTGCCTTCTACTTTTAAATAGGTTTTTTTCAAGTTCTCTGGATCAAGTAGAGGCAGTGTTCATTTGAAGGGCGGACACCAAGCTTTCGAACCATCCACTTGAACTGCAAACGTATGACGCTATGTAAAAAAAAGAGACATGACTCACTCCTCTTCTTCCACGAGACTTCTGAAAGACCATGTTGAGCCCATGCTGTCTGGTTACTTAAGAAGAATCTGTCGGACCACGACGATACTGTCTTATGTTACCAACGTCGTTGGGAGTTCCTTTTGGTATGGCACCAATATGTAGTCACTACATACTGCTGCGTTTATACTTGTCGTATGGTAGTCGCCTTCATGATGAAATAAATAGTACTTAAGTTCAGGGAATGGGGAAAGACGATAGTTACATTTTTGCTCTTCTTGGGCCGTATATGGTGACGCCGGAACCGTACCCATGGCTTCACCTTACATGGGAAAAACTCGTCCAGAGGACCTTTGCCGAGGATTGCATCAAATGGCGAGATGGCCGAGGGTAGGGTAAAGAACAGTTGCCTAGGGCTAAGCCGTGGTCCCGAACGGTTGCTGGTTGATTGTCCAGACAGCTATATAAGGGATGACCATCTTTCCAACTTGCCCCTTCCTTCTGCCATGCGGTCGATTGTTTCATATTCTTCAGTTTTCATGATATCATCGAATTGAGGCTAGGTTCAGCCCCGAAGTCGAACTGATTACTGATGGAAGTAGTCTTTCAGATGTCGATTCAAGTAAACAGATATCTTATCCGTTTGAAAATATGAGGTATTTTCAACGACTGGTATAACCAGGTTGCAATATTGCAGGTAGCCAGCCAGTCCCCTTTAGGAAATACAAACAGCCTGGCATTCCTGAACCTTATCGATTCCGTATCAGTGTCTTCAACGGACAACAATCGTAGCGATGGTGCGCGAACGAGTTCCTTTTCCAGACGAGAATTTACGCCGGGCTTCGCTCAGGCCCACATCCTACGTGTGGGCACGTCCCACCCTTCCCTTGGTTGATGCGAAACAGCTAGTGGTGCGTATATCGCTTACAGGCGCTCCCTCAAGCTGTTAGGCTTATAATCTTATCGATTATCGATTTACTTCAGAGTTCAGGAAATGGTTTTTTCGTTCCTAGGTTGACCCAATGCAGTTTTTTGGAGTTTGATTTCATACAGGACTTTTCTGTGTATAACTGGCAATTTATTTACTAACCAGTCGCGTCGCCCAGCTTACTTGCTGATTCTGACTGACTTACTTGCTAACTGATTCCTTACACTCACGAAGTAAGAAAATGTAGTTAGAGGGGGGAGGTATTCAACTTTGATGAGCTTGAGTGCAGAGTAGGGGTAGCCGACTTTACTTGTACTCAGATTTGGTTTTAGGCGAAAGAATATAGTTTTAACTTAAGCCTCAAGAGGGGTGAAGCATTAAGGTTGGGGTGAGATGATTATCTCGTGCAAAAAGCTGGGAAAGGAGGTGAGTTGAATATTTAATCGACTCACCCATGTCGGAACTCATTCCCTCCTGAAGCTCAAATCAAAAAACTGTGTTTTTGGCTAAGAAACGTTCCTGAGCACAATTGTGGGCTAACTTCTCTATCTGCGCTTTAGCGCTCAATGTTGGAAAAAAAGCGGAGGCCTTCCAACTACATTATCACTACTCCATTAAGCTACCCACCAATTTAGTGCTTCACACGTAAGAGGGCAATGTGGGATAGAGCTGGCTTTTCCATATCACTACCTTTATCGTAACCACAAGGTTCTGCGGACGGACATACCGACAAACCGACACACCAAGTGACTGCTTTATAATTAAGCGAGATCACCTGAGTAGACTAATCTTACCTGGTAATCTCTTCACAGAACCATCGCTATTGTTCGCTAATCTCTCTTCAGTATATTTATAATCACCTGACTTTATGACGGCTTCGAGATTTTCACCTTTTCAAAGAGCATGTCGGGGGAAGCTTCACGACATCACCCGAGTATATGTATTTGATCCTAATGATCGACATCTCCTGGTGTAGCTACAGTTTCAATGCTCAAATAATGACATTTACTTGTCTTCAGTTATTTCTTCTTTTTTCGTTTTTTTTTTTTTGCTGGGTATTATGAACATAACTTCAAGTCATTATTCTCCATGTGAGAATCTGATCGCTAACGTGGCAGGTCTTCATTTCCAATGTGTTCAGACGTTCTCGCCTCATTATAATCTATCATTCGCAGTTACCTCTCATTATCTGGTAGATTTCTGCTATACGGATGTTGAATGAAGTTCGAACTGATCTGATATAACTATGTACAATTATCAACCGACGTACAAGTCAGTGCTTTTACCTTGCCACACAAGTCTGCTAGCAAAAAACCAAACCAAAAGAACTGAAGAGAACTGAAGAGCTTGGTCGCCTTGGGCGGATATCGACCAGGATCCGATCCCCGAGCCATGCATGTGTAATGGCGCACCACTTGCCACTACGCTCAAGTTACTCTTAGAAAAATAGGTTGTGGTTGGCCTGAATAATTCAGTGTTTCGCAGTTCGTTATGGATTTCAGAAACTTTACAAGACCATTACATGAGTAGGCTCAAATGATAATTCTGTGTAGTCACTCGTTTGATAAGTGTAAATGATAAATGATAATAAATAAATGATAATGGGAATTGAGATTGCATGATACTGGGCAAACATTTGGGCCTAGTTTCAAAACAATCCAATCAAACGGTGAAGTATTCCAGCCCCAGACAATGTGCGATATACCGAAATATATATCTTTATTTATTTATTAACATTATGAATATATAGCTGGGAGGCATCCCTCAGAGGGGTTGATCGACGCCCTACGATTTTATCTTTTTGCCCTTTATGGAAAGAAGACGAAATTGGAAACCCACAGATTTTTTTCAATTTTCGAGGATCTTTTGAACATTTAGGGCCCCTATCAGTTTCCCCTTGAGGCTTGGAACGCTCAGCTCAAACTACAGCCCACCAAAACAAAGCAAATCGAAATATTTCAATGTATGCGTTCACCGTTTTTGTGTAACTTGATGAGGACTCTCGAATCTCGAATAAAAAATAAATGAATAACGAATATCAGGAAAAAGCACTATATTTATTCAAATTTTGATGTTGTAATTTATTATTCTTCGAATTAGACGTGCTTGATTTGCAAAATTTCAATCCTATAGTCTTTCGCAAGAGACTATTTTTTACATATATGAGCTGAAATGGAAATCATCAAGTACAACAAATATTTTTATTATCATCGACGTCCAGCAAATTACAATTTTGGGCCTAATTCTTTGGGGAGTTATGGCAGAAGCAATTACACCCAATGTCTCTTCCTACAATCGGATTCAATTACTTTTTTGCAGTTGGTGATTTCTCCATTAATGCCACTCTGTTGTTGTTTTGATGTTGACTCCGCCTCGAAAAGCTTACCGTCTGACTGCTAACAGCAAACTCTGAATTTTCTTCTAGAAGCAGCAGGATGCTATATCATATGCTTACTTCTAATGTCGCCTATCTTCTTCTTAGTGTAATTCTGTGTAGACAGTTACCGTAACTCCTTTCATAAGCTTTATTATCTGGCCTTTGATGGCTTATAAGGCTGTCGAACAGACAATAGTTGAGACGGGATTAAGCAAGGAAACCCTCGTGCTTAGATGAAGGCTGTCATTCATTCTGACATCAGGGCGATGTGGACGATTTCTCTACATAAGAATTCAATGTGAGATGAGAAACTTCATTTCAGGTGGAAAGGAATTACAATGGTTCGAGTAACAAACAAGAGTTCTGATGGCAGAAGCTTCTTCCACTGCCCTGCTACCTTTCTAGTGAATCTACCCTCTTTACTGTCCCTAATGGCTCTTTGGTAATCTCATATTCTCGGTATATTTCTTTGCCTGAATAATCGGCGCCTTATCGTCAGTATCATTGATTGAAGGCACAGTTCACGGTAAAAATGGTTTCTAAGATTCCCCCACAGGATGTATTTAAGGCCCCCGCGTATACCATATCTGGCACTACATATTAGGTCGGAGAAGGCCTAGTCAGGGAGTTATAAAGGTTCAAAGTTTGGGCCGTGTGTATTCTCGGACGAGTTTCATCGGCACTTTAGAGGCTGAACCGATCACAACAGAACTAATGTAGGAAGTTCAAACAACTTGTCATGAAATTCTCTCGCTTTCTTCACTACCAAGAACTATTCCCAATCTATACTTCCGCTTTTCGAATAAAAACGGGTACCTCAAAATTATCGTGAAGTGTGCCTTTAAGACGATAAGTCTGTAGGTGGAGTTCTGGTGAGTCATTTTCTTCCCTAGCTGCTCTAGAAAACAGTAGTTGTTACGGTGAACCCCATAGCTGAGCGGTATTTTTTGGGATACTCTCTATCGGGACACTCAAGATCGGATAGCCCAAAGACATGATCCGTAGAGTGGCTAATCGAAATGTACTGATCTGTAGCAGGCTACGGGATCCAAAGCTTTCCATGATTGGGATAGGAGTCGGAGAAGCATATTTTGTCACTCTTCTGTCACTTTATCTTTGTTTATATTAACATGAGGTAATGCAGTGGCAAGTATGTAGCCCACTATCATACATGCAACACCCAGAAATCAAATCCAGGAACGATATTCACCTAGGCCAATCCAGCGCTCCATCTTTACAAGTTCGATTCAGATCGACTCGTCTTGGAGAATAAACACAGTGACTTGTCCATTGGCTGACTATCGCATGCCATTATACAGCCTACACATACATTCAAAACGCCACTCTTATCCTTTAACCGTAGAGTTTGGCCTGCAAAACTCACCATTTAAGTAAGTCATGGTTCCCATCCCAGCCTGTTTATAGAAGGACCAGTAAAACTGGAATTTGAGCTGTTCTCATCCTTCCTCATCTCACTCCCCTCCTAGTCTTACTACCCACGAGGGTACCGTTCTTATCGTTAGTAGTGAAGCTTAGATGGTTTTTTAAAAACTACTCCAGTGTGATCCCAGCTTGGGATGTCTGGCTTCCCCTCTTCATCGTTGTTCGAGAAACTGGACAGAACTCGTTCGGTGGCTTCCGCGGCGCTCATGGTCTAGTGATATCATTGAGATAAACTATCACTCTTTTGCAGGTTCTTTGTCGCTGCTTTCATGACGCTAAAAAATTTGCAATCCCATTGTAATTTGGCTCCTTAGAAGGAGTGATCTGTAAAGGCTCTCCGAGTGAGCTGTAGGAGGGAGGGAGGGCACTCCTTGAATTCAAAGCTTTTCAGGGTGAAATAGTAGTTATAGTTTACTAATTTTGATCGATTATTATTTCGTTTATTATTCATTTTTCAAATGGTATCGTAGTGGGAAAGACATATAGAGCAATAGGCATACCACCGATTTGCCTCTGATTGCCGCATAGTTGGTGGTACTAACTGACTTAATGTCCCCCTGGTTATTAACCCTTATGATTCTGGGTGAAGATGGCCTTCTTGACGTTTATGGAATAAGTTTATGAAATAAATCCTTCAGAGCAAAACTACGGATGCAGTTCTGTAGCTTTGGTGTAGTTTGGCCAGAAAAGTTCCGGAAGACCAGCAGTTTACGTTGGAACTCTGCTCCAGTGAAAAGCTCCAGGAAGTTTGGGTTTGGGAGGGTTATGAGATGAAACAACCATCTTGTATAGCCGAATGACCAAAAATCACTAACATTGAATCTTGTAAAATGAGGGTTACTTGTAAATATAAGTGATGTCATTGTTACAGCAGAGGCTACTAGTCGGTCGGTGGGCGTGCTTGCAGAGCTGGTATCGAGAACGAGTTGCGTTCCGGTCCAGTGCCGATTTTTGCACTTACATGATAGTGACGGCGTCGCCGACTACGACGACGGCCTGCCTGGTTGCTAACCATCCAAAAAACTGCTGCCAATTCGAATTGCG